CACCATGTGGGACCCTCGCCAGCCAGCCAGGATTGAACTCGTGCTGCAGAGGCTGCAGACAGCTTCACAGCGCTGCACTCAACTGACTGCACCACCAGGGGAGGCCCAGAAAAGCTAAGAGATTTTATTGGTAGCAGACCTGTCTTTAAAAAATATTTAAGGAAAAATTCTCTAAACAGAAAGGAAACAAAGTGACTCAAATATAAAAAAGTAAGACAGAGCACGGTATGTAAAAAATAAGGGTAAAAAATAATAGGAAGTGCTTCTCAGAGAAATATGCAGAGTAAACATTTAAAACAATTATATAACAAACAGGGAGAATAAAAAAATTGTTGTCAATATCAGATACTATTTATTATATTTGATGTAATCTTCATGATAACCACAAAGCAAAGACCTATAATAGATATACAAAATATAAAGAGAAAGGAATGAAAGACACCACTACAGAAAAGTGTCAATTCACAAATAACAGTAAAAGAGGGAATGGAGAATAAAGGAAGAAGGAATTACATAATAGCCAGAAAACGTCATTAGTAAGTCCTTACTGGTCAATAATTACGCTACATATAAATGGATTATATTCTCCAATCAAACAATATAGAGATGTTGGATATAAAAAACCAAGATGCAACATAAGCTGCCTACAAAAAGATTCACTTTAGTTTTAAAGACACACAAACGTATTTTGACACACAAAAGAATAGAAAAAGGAAATTTCATGCAAGTAGAAACCAAACAAGAGTAAGGATAACTGCATTATATGAGATAAAAAAGATGCTAATTTGAAAACTGTAACAAGAAACAAAGAAGGACATTACATAATAATTAGGGACCAATTCAAGAGGATAACAATTGGAAATACATATGTATCTTACACTGGGACACCTAATTAAGAGATATATATACAGAACACTTGTTCAAAAGCAACAAAACACAACCTCTTCTCACATGCACATGTAACATTCTTGAGGAGAGATCATGGTAGGCCACAAAAAAGGTTTTAACATTAAATTTAAGAAGACTGAATTCATATCAAGCACCTTCTCAGACCAGAGAGGTATGAAACTAAAAATTAATTATGAGAAGAAAACTGAAAATTTCACAAATATGTGGAGATTAAACACCATTCTACTGAATACCAATTGGTCACAGAAGAAACAGGAATAAATTAAAATTACCTGAGACAAATGAAAATGTAAATAAAACATTCCAACATCTATGAGATACAGCAAAAGCAGTTCTAAGGGGGATGTTCATGGCAATAAATGTTTTCATTAAGGAAAAAGAGACCTCAAAAAACTTAACTTTACACCTCAGAGAACTAGAAAAAGGGCTAATCTCAAATTTAGAAGAGAAAAAAAAAAAGATCAGATTGAGAAAAATAAAGGAGATTAAAAGGACAGTAGAAAAAAATAGTGAAACTAAGATGGTTTTTCAAAAAGATAAAACCATATCAACAAGCTGACTCACCAATTTAAAAAAAGTGTGGATTCAAAAAATAAACTCAGATGTAAAAGAAGACATGTTACAATTGACATCACAAAGGATCTTGAAGCTATTGTGAGCAATCATACACCCACAAATTGGACAATCTAGAAAAGGATAAATTCCTAACCAAACCATGCTGTCCAACAAAAACAGTCCAGATGGCTTTAATGGTGAATTCAACCAATTAATACCAATCCTTCTTAATCTCTTTCAACAAAATGCTGCAAGTTCTAATCAATGCAATAAGGAAAGGAAACAAAAAACATGTAAATCAGAAAGGCAGAGATAAACTGTCCCTGTTGATAGATGGTCAGAATAGAAAATCTCATGGAATCTATTTAAAAAAGAGAAAGAAGAAGAAAAAACTCTTGGAACTAATAAATGAGCCAGCAACAACACAGAATACAAGATACACACACAGAAAATATATTTCTACATATTCTACCTGTATCCTAATTCATGGACACCACAATTGAATACACAGCACCATTCACAATTGCTAAAAAAGTTGTCACAACTTCCCTTTGGATACTGACCAAAAAATATTGTAAATGACATAATTTATTAGGATTTATTAGACTTAGATATTACACAAAGGCAACAACAAAAAAAAAAAAGATCACAACTATTTTGGTAAACCACATTAAGTACTAGGTTGTTGTTCTGAATGTTTTATGTTGGTCCTATTTCACTGAAGTATTAAAATAAATAAACTTTGAAAAGTTACTGCCATTCAAAGCCACATACTTGCATAATAAAAAGTAAATCTGGGCCTCCCCGGTGGCACAGCGGTTGAGCGCTGGGTTGTGAAGCTGTCCGCAGCTTCTGCAGCACCGGTTCGATCCCCAGCCACCGGGTGAGGGTCCCACATGGCGCGCAGACCTCTCCTGCCGCCCACTGCTCCCCTCAGCAGTGTACTTCGTCACTCTGCCTGTTCTACTCTCTGCTCTGACTCTGGTGAATTCTCTCACCCTCCTGTGTCTCTGACTGTACCCAGTGCTTGTATAAATAAATAAATAAATCTTAAAAAAAAAAAAAAGTAAATCTGAGATAGGGTTATTATTAAGTTTTCCAAATCAACATTTTCTCTATGCAGACAAATCACTATCAATCCTCACTGGTCTTATGTTCCACTGTGTTTTTAGTGTCACACAATTAACACAGATTCAGTGCCACTGATAATCTTTTCTTATTGATACCAAAGCAAATGCTACCACTTATTGAATTCCTAAGTAACTTATTTTTAGAAAGATAAAGCTACAGAATGTGGATAGAGATTTCTTAGCAATAAGGTCACTTAAAATATAGAACATTTAAAACTCCAAATGCATCAACCCAACAAAATCAAAGCAACACAATGAAAAAATGGACAGAAGAGCTAAAAAGACACTTCTCCAAAAAAGGAATGCAAATGGTCAACAGGTATATGAAAAAAATGTTCCACATCACTTACTAACAGGGAAATACAAATCAAAACCACAGTGAGATACCACCTCACACCTGTGACAATGGCCCATATTAATTAAAAAAAAAAACCAAAAAACTAGAAACAAGAAATGCTGGGGAGGATGTGGTGAAAAAAGAACCCTTATTTTCTGTTAATAGGCATGTAAACTGGTCCAGCCACTATGGAACGTTGTGTGGAGTTTCCTCAAAACACTGAAACTGGATCTACCACATGATCCAGCAATTCCACTCCTAGGAATCTACCCAAAGAACACAAAAAGAGTTCTAAAGGAAGCCTGCACTTCCATGTTTATAGCAGCACTACTTAAAATAGCCAAGATATGGAAACAACCTAAATGCCCCAAAACAGATGACTGAATAAAGAAAACATGATATACATATATACAGTGGAATACTACCCAGTGATCAAAAAAGAAACTCATGCTGTCTGTGGTAACATGGATGGAGCTAAAAAGGACTGTGCAAAGCTAAATAAGTCAGAAAAGATTAGTATCAGATGGTTTCACTTACACTGGAATATGGAGAAACTGAACAAAGGGTCAGGAAAAATACAAAACTTACAAGCTGGTCTTAGATCTGAGGCACACAGTGATGGAGGGGGAGGGTCAGGGTCAAAACAAGGATAGTGGGGATGGATCACAGGTACTACAGTGGTGGGAGAATTATGGGCCCTACACTTGAGGGAAGAATCGAATGTTGTCAAAAAAATTAACAACATTGTAAGAAAAAAATTAAAAGTAAAAAAACAAAAACAGAACTCGAAGTACACTTAAAATAAACAAAATATTAATATGGCATCTTAAATAGTCCCTTTTATAAATGACTCTACATCAGATTTTTTCATTCCCTTCTCATATTTTGGCCTAACACTGCCATTTCTGGAGGAGACTAACCATCTCAAATAAAATAGTACCTTCTTCTCTCTATCACTAACACTCAGATTATGTGATACCTCTAAACTCTGAAAAAGCCTCTCATTTTACTCAGAGGAAAAAACTGAAGACTTTACAATCAGTAAAACTCTACTGATAAGGCAATAGGTCCCCTCACATCTTTACTTCCTCTAACGCCAACTCCTACCTTTCTGTTTGCTCATTCTGCCTGAGTCATGCTGTCCTCTGTGTTATATTTGAACTCAGAAGGCATGTTCTGTCTTTAAATATTCCCCACTTAACTACATGGCTATGGCCCTTACCTTCTTCAACTTATTGTTCACATTACTTCAATAATGCTCACAGCTAGACCATCCTACTTAAATTTATAAAACTTCTAATACTATACTTCTGACCCATTCACTTTATTTTGCCCCATTTTAAGCACTTAACCACCTTTTAAATTATTGGATCATTTACAAGTTATATAGTTGTTTTTTTTTTATGTCTGTTTGTTCTCTGCCAGGGGAAGGACAAGAATTCTGTCATTTCATTTAGTATTGCATCTCAAGAGCTTAAAACACCAGTACATAGCAGTGTCAAATATTGTTGAATGAGTGGAATAAATGAATAGATCCCAAAGGACATATCAATGGTTCTCAAAATTAATGTTAATTAATCTCAACAATACAATGAAAAATGAACTGTTAAAAAGAAAATAAATTTTCACCACCTTCAAGTATATATAGATGCAATTCCCTTTTCTACACTGGCCTTCTTTTTCATTCTCATTCTTAATATTCCATTCTGTATTAATATATATTCTTTGCCAGAAAAATTACAACTAAAATATACCAAACTAAATGGTCTTCCAAAAATGTTACATTTGTTTACTTAAATCTGGATTATGTGTGCCTTCTGTGTTATCTCCATATACTTAAGTTTATTTTCCTTATAACCTCTTCACATATGTTGTAAAGATTATTTGACCCCCCCAAACCAAAACGCGAGTGCCTTGAAAGTAGGGACCATTCATACTTGATTTCCCTTCATTGGCATACAGCTCACATCACATAACACACACATACTTGGCAAATGTTTTCTGTGTGAATAAAACTGTTTAAAATCTATTGAACTGAACTGAATTAATAGTGAATCACAGAAATTTACCTCTTACTTGTTTCCTTAATTTCTCAATTTCTTCTTTTAAGCTCTTTATTTCTAAATCTTTGCTTGCTGTCAGTGGACCATCGAGAGTTGAATGCTGCAGAGCTTGGACAGTCTGTGTTGATTCTTTATAAGAAGGAATGAAAGGAAGAGTGAGAAATAATGCCATTTCTATATTTTTAAAATTGATAAAAATATTTTTTCCTGAAGAAATCCTTATATAATTCTACTGACTAAATCACCTATCCATTGACAAAAAATATGTTAACACACTACGATTAAATCATAAAACTCCACTGCCTATGTCTTTAAAATTGTAATACATATAGAAAAGGATCTACCTTCTAATATGTGAGATTTCCAGTGCACTCTTGTTAGTGAGTCAACTATTTGGCCCCCTTTTGTACTAGCAGGGATGGTTATCATGTTATAACCCAAAAAGGTCACATGTCCAATGACATATGAAATCAACTGAAATTGACACACAGAAATGTTAATACAAAATATGTAGAAGTTCTGGCCCTCCAAATAGTGTGTATGAGAAGTTGAGCCTATCTGTAACTAACTTTTGCTCATTAATTTAGTTAAAAGTGATATAAATTTATCATGCAGTTATTAAAGAATTAACTCTACTAGGGTTTATTTCCAGGCATAAAAAATATGGAGAAAAAAAAATGTTAATTATGCCACTGTATGAAATAGGAATTAATACCAGAAGTCAATGCCAAAACATGTTGGTTTGTTTTGTGTAAGTGATTGCAGTCACTTTTAACCATATTCTCTAAGAACATATTCAAGAAATCAAAATATTAAGGAAAAAAACTGGACATAAAGAGTTTCTCATTCAGAACAGGAAAAGCTAGGAATGTTATCAATAGGTCATTTCTCCTGCTACAAAAGGTAAAAACACACTATATAATTTTCAAAAATCATCTTCACAAATATCATGTACCTAGGGGAACAAAGAGGACTTATTAAAATAAATCAGAAAGGGATAAGCCATTCTGAGGTGAAAAGGCTATAATTACAAATGCCTTTTTCCAATACCGGATGGTCTCACTCATAGCAGGAATCTAGAAAACTTAAATAAGGGACCAGGAAAATGAATAACTATAAGAAAGTGAAAATCAAAATCAACAAAAAACTATGAACCAGAGACACTTTTTGGGGGGTGGCGGAGCGGGAGGGGAGGGATTGGGGTCAGAATGGGGGGGTTGCAATTGTATGGGGAATATAAAAATAAAATTTATTATTTAAAAAAAATAATAATAATAAAATAAAATAAAAATGCCTTTTTCCTGAGAATGTTACCAACTCTGTGAGGTAGCTTAAGATTGGCCTCAATTAAGAAATGTTATACTGGAAAGAAAAAAGCATCAAAGCTTCTGGAGAATAGGTTAGTACTGGTACAATTTGGAAATCTCAGGATCCCAAATTATGTGGTACTGTTTTTCCCATGGTGTATTTGTTATATATCTGGGGATTGTATGAGAAGGTAAGGAGCCTCTAAAGTGAGAATGAAATCTCCTTCAGTACTGGAGTAATTTGGAGACAAAGTCATATTGAAAAAGAGGGCATGTCTCAAACACAAAGTTAGTCTCTACATCAAGACATCTGCCATATTTGGAAGTAGTCAGGTAAGAGGACGAAGGGCTGAATAAATTTCCCACGGTTTACAGAGTGAGGGAGAAAGACCTCAAAACATTTAAATAAGAAATACACTACTATTTTAAAAAACATAATGCTATTGTATACTTGACTACAGGATAGTGTACACGTTTCTAAAAAAAATTGGTATTCTTTTCACTGCATTGGTAAGGAACTGAACCTGTAATCTCTCTGAGGTGTGCTCATATATTTTAGTTCTGAGCAACAAAAAACACAGAGTACTCTAAAGTACCCTACATTCACAAGACAAAGAGTTAAGGAGAAATCAGTAAACAAGATTGAGAGTAAGTGGCTTATGAGGGAAGCAAAAGGATGAATTATCAAGAAGGAAAAAATAATCAATGGGGTCAAATACAAGTGATAGGTTAAAAGATGACTGAGAAGAGACAAGTGGATTTTATAACACACAGTGAGGTAATGGGCTAACGCAAAAAAATAGGATTGTTAGAAAGCATCGAGTCAATTTAAGATTAGTGTCTATTTGAAGGCAGATTACTTAGCACATGGTATGTTTTAGCACAGTTACAGATGCAATGTTCTATTTAAGTAGGGCCGGGGTTCTATCAAAAGAATTTGACAAATAGTAAGAGTAACAATAGATCTGACGGTATATGTAAGGGTGTTATGATGACTGGTCACAGAACGAAAACTGAGGATAAAAGGAATAGAGAAAGTGTGATAAAATGGCGGTTAATGGTGGAACTCAAGGAATATTAGAGTTGAGGCACCAGAGGAAGATAATTAGAAGATCATGAGAAGAAGATGGGAGGGTTTGCCTGAAATTGAGATTAACAAAGAAGTTTAGATACTATAACCTCAAGATCAATCTTACCACCACTGATAAGAAGTAGATGAGGTAGGGCAGAGGAAACAATGATCGAAAGTGAAGAATCAAGAGGCCAAGAAGTCAGAATATTAAAAGGTTCACCAGTATGCATTTCAAATTTACCAATTATTACAACAGGAGCAATATTGTATAAAATGACAGTATGATAGAAAGTGTAACATTTAAGGATAAAAGAAATATAAGCATATAAATTATAAGTCACATAAGGATATGAATCAAATACGGTATCAGAGCAGGTTCTTTGCTTTGTTGGCCAAAAGACCATGTAAGTTAACCAGTAGAATATTGCACCAGAGAATGCTATGACTTAGGGTGAAACTGGAACACCTTCTCAGTGTCAAAGACCATGTAGACAGCACCAGAGGGATATGGAGAAGATTCATGCTTCCCTGAACACAAGGCAGGTGGAAAGAAATGCCTCGAGGTTGTGTGGGTGGCTGGGAGGGGCAGGAGGCTACACTGCACATTGCAGTACTGTCATCTGGCCAGCCCATCGGTCAGTGGCCCTGGTGAAGGGAGAGCCAAATAGTTTGGAGGCAAACACTGACAACTGATAGAAAATATGTGTGGAGGAGCTGGGATGCTCCCCATGGACTGGGTTTCTAGTGAAAAGAACAAGGAAAGGCACTGGGCTATTCTCACATTTCCCCTAGTCTGACATTGGAAGCACACGGACAACACACAGCAGACAGCTGAGTCTTGAATCCTCCAAGAAGAGGGTTGTTGACAGTGCTTCAAACACAAACTTGCCCCAAACACCAGAGCATTCATAGCAGCAGTGTGAGTCCTCTAGGCTCCTACCTCAAATACAACTTATCAACTACAAGATCAAACATTCAGACCTACAGAAGCTGGAAAGGGCCAAACATCGAAACTCATATAAAAACCACAGCACCAATTTCTGGAAACATAGAGGTAGTTAAAATCTATAAGTGACTATTATGGATACTTTTGGGGGAAAAAATAAATCTAAAGCAGCAAATGGGCAGACAAAAATAAAGCAGAACAAAAAAAAAAATTCACACATGCAACTTGAGGTCTTAAGGGAGTATGACACCACAGGAGAGAGAACAACTTCCAGAATCCTAACACAAAGATATAGAAGATTTTTATCTTCCTATGAGATAGTTTAAAATTGTCATGATAAAAAATATTCAAAGAAATGGAAGAAAATACAGAAAAGCAACTCAGTGTGGATCAAGAACTCTGCAAAGCCAATCAGACACACAAAATTCAAAAAACCAGGGCCTCCCCTGGTGGCACAGCGGTTGAGTGCTGGGCTGCGAAGCTGCCCGCAGCCTCTGCAGCACCGGTTCGATGCCCAGCCGCTGGCAAGGGTCCCACATGGCGCAACAGACCTCTCTTGCAGCGCCCACTGTTCCCCTCACCAGTGTATTTCGTCAGTCTGCCTGTTCTGTTCCCCGCTCTGGCTCTGGTGAAGTCTCTCACCCTCCTGCGCTTGACTGTACCCAGTGCTTGTATAAATAAATAAATAAATCTTTAAAATTTTTTTTTTTTTTTTTCAGAAAACCAAATGAATGTCATAAAATAGGAGTTGAAGCTTTAAGTAAGAAAATAACAGAGTTGTGGAACGTAAAAAGATCAATAAAGGAGATTAAATATTCTGGAGAAAGATATATAAACAAAATAGACCAAATGGAGAATCTAACAAATGATCTTGAAGACAATAATATACAAATGACCCAGAAGAAAAAAGAGAAATACAGAGGGAAAAAGTTGAAGAAACATTTTGACAATTGTCTGACTCCATTAAGAAGAGGCAACTGAATTCTGGATATTCCAGAAGAGGAAGAGAGAACAAAGGGAACGGAAAGCTTATTCCAAGAAATAATGAAGGAAAATTTCCCACACCTGGGGACAGAACTATTATAAATACAGAATTCCATGAAGCTGAAAGAAAGCTGTTTTCAAAATGTAATGAGATATACATCAAGACACATAGCCATAAAATTACCAAGTGTTCAAGACAAGGAAAGAATACTCAAAATGCCTTCAGAGAAAAAGCATGTAACCCATAAAGATACTCTCATCAGGCTTAAATCAGACTTCTCTGAGGAAAGCCTACAAGTAAGGACAGAATGGGATGATATATTCAAAATACTCAAGAACAAAAATTGCAGGCCAAAAATACAATATGCTGCTAGAGTCTGCTACATACATAAGGGAGCAACAAAGGTCTTCTCAGACAACAGAAGCTGAGTCTGCCAACACTAGACCTCACCGAAGGGAAATTTTGAAAGGATTCTCCTATCTAAATTGAAGAGAAGGAAATCCACAAAAAAACAACAGGAAATAGATACAACCAGAAAGTACGATATGGTAGCAGCAAATCATTCTATGTGCATAATCTCCTTACATGTAAATGGACTGAACTCACCAATCAAGAGGCATTGAGTAGCCAGTTGGATCAGAAAACAACCCAAACTTTCTGCTGTCTCCAGGAGACTAATCTAAGTTCCAAAAATAAATAGACTCAAAGTAAATGGTGGAAAAACAATTCTACAAGCAAATAGGACCCCATGAAAGGCAAAGACAGTCATTCTATCAGAAAAAAATACATTTCCAGATAAAAAAAGATAACAAGAGAAAGAGATGAATATTATATAATGATTAATGGATCAATACATCAGAAAGACATACCAATCATCGATAGATATACACCAAATAAATAAGCATCAAAATATCTAAGAATTCTATAATCAATGTGAAACACACTGGCAATAACACAACAATAGGGCCTCCCTGGTGGTGCAAGGGATTAAGCCTCAGCACTATGAAGCTATCCACAGCCACTGCAGCACAAGTTTGATCCCCGGCCAGGAAGCTAACCGACATGGCTCAGCAGACCTCTCCTGTCTTGCCCACTGCTCCCCTCAGCAGTGTATTTTAATCAATTCGCCTGTTCTGTTCCCACTCTGTCTCTGGCGAATCCTCTCACCCACCCCCACACCTCTGGCCTGCACCCCAATTCTTGTATGCATAAATAAATCTTTAAAAAACCACAATAGGGCTTTTCTGGTGCTGCAAGGGGTTGAGCACTGCGCTATGAGGCTGTTCGCATCCACTGCAGCATGAGTTCGATCCCTGGCCAGGGAGCTACCCACATGGCACAGCAGACCTCTCCTGTCTCACCCACTACTCCTCTCAGCAGTATATTTCAGTAGATCCATCTGTTCTGCTCCTCACTCTGTCTCTGGTGAATCCTCTTATCTCCCGCAACTCTGGCCTGTACCCCAGTTCTTGTATGCATAAATAAATAAATCTTAAAAAAAAAACCCACAGTAATAGAAGAGGATGTCAACATTCCACTATCCTCAATGCACAGGTCAACCAGACAGAAATTCAACAAGGAAACAACGGGCCTAAACAAGGATCTAGATTAGATGGGCTTAACAGACACTTACAGAGCACTGTACCTCCCTCCACCGCCCCACAAAGCTGGGTACACATTTTTCTCAAGTGCATAGGAGACATTGTCTGAGATAGGACATATGTTAGGTCACAAAACAAGTGTCAATAAATTCATGAAGATGGAAATCATATCAAGCATATTCTCTGATCACAGTGGTGTCAAACTAGAAACCTACAACTAAAAGAAAGAAAAATGGAGAATAAGCAACATACTACTCCGAAAATTTATGAATGTAATATACCACATCAATAAAAAATAAAAACCAAATAATTATATCAATAGATGCAGAAAAAGCGTACATTTCAGCATCCATTTATAATAAAAACCCCTACAAAATGGGAATTCAAGAAGATACCTTACCAAAATAAAGGCCATATAACAAGTCAACAGCTAACATCACACTCAGTGGTGAAAAGCTGAAGATCAGGTACAGGACAAAGATGTTCACTTTAACACCCCTATTTGGGGGAGCGTGGATTATTCTGTGTCTTTGCCTTGACTATTCTGTGCCTTTCACCCAGAGTACAAACAGGGAAAGGTTGAAGATAAGGAATCTGCTAAGGCAAAAGTCCAGGTATGAGGATCTATATATCCTGAAAACAGCATGAGAAGAAAACAGCAACAGATGTTATGCTTAGATTGGCAAAGACACTGAGGCTTCCCCTGACTCTCTCTCTCTAATTTCCTAGCCATGGCTGGTGCCAGATGGTTTCGCGCTCCCCACACACTTACACATTCCCCATTTGCCTACCTGCTTCTTTGATTTTTTTATAATCTTCTGCTTCATTCTAAATAAAAACAAGATTAACCTTGGAGCTGCATTGCACCTTGGTTCACCTTCTTTAAGGGAATTTTCTTGGTGTATGTAGTCCCTCTAGGTTTCTCATTGCTCCAACCCATTTGGACTCTGAATAATCTCTTTTCATTCCGGACATCATAAGGACACAACCAGTTAACACAGAATTGGAAGACCTAACTAGAACCATCACATAAGGGAAATATTTAAAAGGCATCCAAATTGGGAAAGAATAAGTTTAACTATCAGTCTGCAGAGGGCATGATAATATACATTGCAAATCCCACAGACTTCACTAAAAAAAAAACCATTAAAAACAATATATCAGTACAGTAAAGTGACAGGTTACAAGATCACTTTACAAAAATCAATTGTGTTATTATATGCAAACAACAAACTAGAAGAGAAAACAATCTCATTTATAACTGCAACAAAAATAATTAAATACCTAAGAGTAAACTTTAAATAAGGACCTGTACAATGAAACTACAAGGTATTATTAAAAGAAATAAAAGACACAATGAAAGAGAAAACTATTCCTTGATTTCATGGATTAGAAGAATTATCAGGGCCTCCCGGGTGACGCAGTGGTTAAGCACTGGGTTGCGAAGCTGCCCACAGCTTCTGCAATGCTGGTTAGATCCCCGGCCACCGGGAGAGGGTCCCACATGGTGCACAGACCTCTCCTGGCGCCCGCTGCTCCTATCAGCAGTGTACTTTGTCAGTCTGCCTGCTCTGCTCTCTGCTCTGCCTCTGGTGAATTCTCTTGCCCTCCCGCACTTCTGACTGTACCCAGTGCTTGTATAAATAAATAAAATAAAATCTTTAAAAAAAAATTATCATAGTTAAAATGACCATCTTACCCAAAGCAATACACAGATTCAGTGAAATTCCTCTCAAAGTTTCAATGGCATTCTTCAAGAGATAGAACAAACATTACTGAAACTTATATGAAACTACAGAAGACTGAGTAAAAAGCACTACTGACAAAAAAAAAAAAAAAGACAAACAGTGGTATCATACTCCCAGACTTCAAACTATACAACAAAGCTATAGTAATCAAAACAGTATGATAAATGAATAAAAATAGAACACAGAAATGTACTCAAACTGACAGCACAAAAACCCACACGGACAGTGAATACAGACAAAGGATCAGAGAGTACAAACTGGAGAAAGGAAAGTCCCTTCAACAAATGGTGCTGGGAAAATCGGGCAGGCACATGCAAAAAAATAAAACCAGATCACTAAGACATACCACATACAAAAAATTAACTCGAAATGGATTAAAACTGTGATGTAAGACCTGAAACCATAGAAGAAAGCAAACACTCCACAACACTGGCATTAGGGATGTCTGGGGAATCAACTCCAATCACAAGGGAAACTAAAACTGAAATAAACAAATGGGACTACATCAAATTAAAAAGCTTCTGCACAAAGAAACTACCATTAAATGAAAGAAACTATCATTAAAATGAAAAGATACCATCTTATTGGGAGTAAACTTTTGTAAATCATACATCTGAAAAGGGGCTATAATCCAAGATCTACAAAGAACAGATAGCAATAACAACAACAACAACAAAAAAAAAAATTTTAAAAATGCACGGAAAAGCTAAGTAAAAACTACTCCAAAGAAGGCATACACAAAGCCAACAGAGACATGAAAAAGTGCTCACCATCACTAATCATCAGGGAAATGCAAACTAAAACCACAACGAGATACCAGTTGAGAAACAACAAGTACTGGAGGGGATGCAGAGAAAGGGGAACTTTTATGCAATGTTGGTGGGACTGCAGACCGGCCCAGTCCTTACGTAAAACAATGCGAAGGTTTCTCAAAATAGCAAAAATAGATCTATGATATGATCCAGCAATTTCACTATGATGTATCTTCCCATGAATGCAAAAATTCTAATTTGAAGGAATAAATGCACTCCTATGTTCACTGCAGCACTATCTACAATAACCAAATTATGGAAAGAACCTAAGTGCCCAAGGACAGATGGATAAATGGAGTACTGAGAAGTGGTAAAAATTCGCAGTTAGAATCCTATTTTTATTTAAAAATAAAAAAGATGAACTCCTGCTGTTCGTGATAACATGGATGGACTGGAGGGGATGACGCCATGCGAAATGAGTCATAAGGTCAAAGACAATGAACAGATGGGTCTGGTGTGGTAACATTTATCTGAAGAGATGAGATAGTATGCCTCTGAATCATATACAGTATTGTACACCAATGTTGCCTCAATTTAAAAAGGTCATATAATGTGCTACACTAGCTTGATAATGGTTCCTTTCTTCTTTATAATACTATTTTCTTCTCCTCAGGGGTATTTATTCCTGCACATTTACATACATAGATATGTTATCTATTAGAATCAAATGCTATTTTGTTTATTATTTATTTCATGGTTTTATATAGATAGTATTATACTGTATTCTGCATAAATTTCTATAACTTGATTTTTCTTCACTTAAAAAAATTTTCTTCAAGATAAAACTACATAATATAAGTAGTTCCTATCCCTGACTATAACTCAAAAAAGGAAATATTATCTTTGATATACATTTACCTTGAAGCTTCCTACTAAGTTCATGTTTCTCCTGTTCAAGGCGCTTAATTCTTCTTTCATAAGCTTCAGTTGCTAAGTTGTTATCCAGAGTCCTCTGAACATTAACATCAAGATCCACCGAAGTGGGACCAGCTGTAACTCTTAAACAGCTCCGATCAGAAAGGACACTGAAAAAAGCGGAGGAAATGTGCATTCACACAGAAATAAAATGGTTGAATACAAAGGATAACCTTTTAAAATCATTATTTTAAAACATAGAATTAAATATATAGTCATCTAGAATGCTTGTAAAACACAATCTTTTGCAAAATCATTATAAATGTTGTTAAAAATATTTTTTAATTTTAAAACTTAAATCACTCAAATTATCTTGAAATTTTTAATGAACACACTTTATAAAATGAAATTTCTGAAGAATTTTTGCTAGTTTAAAACAATATGACTATCTTTGTGAAATATTAAAGGTTCCAACCATGGTCCACTTTACCAGAATTTGGAATTCGAAAGTGAAATGTTTTCTTTAACTCAATTCAATTAAAAATATTTAATAATGAAAAAATGTTGAACATTCAGCAGTGAACAAAACAGACAAAACTCCTTGCCCAGTGAAACAAAATTAACAAGATAAAGAAAATATTCGGTGCATTAGACAATATTAAATGTTAAACAGAAAACAAAGCAGGAAGGAAATTTAGTGCTGAGGGGCAAAAAAAAAAAAAAATTTAGATTAAGTGGCCAGGAAAACCATCATTCAGAAAGTAACTTTAAATAAAGCCCATCAGAAGTAAAAGGATCAGCCAAGGGAATACCAAGGGAAACACTCCAGGCAGATGGAATAGAAATACAAAAGTCCTGAGACAAGAGTATGACTGGTATGTTTATAGGCCAGAAAGGAGATGTGTGGCTGAAATGGAGTGAGAAAGGGGGAAAGTACTAGAAAACACAATCAGAAAGATAAACCAGTCATGAAAGGGCCTGAGATGGATTCATTAAATTCAGCATCATGGAGGTCAATGGTTACATCGATAAAAGTAGCTTGCTTGACAAAAGTTGTTCTGGTGCTAGACAACTAGAGAACCTTTATTCAACAGCACAGGACTCTTCCAATTCCTCTCCTATTGCTTATGGATGAGAACACAAAACTGATGAACAAAGTCCAAGGAAAAACAGTATGAAAATAATCAGACAAAATATAACAATGAAGGAATTTTGCTACAATGTGGAGGTGAGAAATGTCTGGTAGCAGTTAGAGAAGTTGGGATTAAGAGAGACTGGATATTTTGTTTAAAAATGGGAGAGAAAAAACCTGCACGTCAGGGAGCTGATGTCAATGACCTGATGACGCAAAAGACACCAGCAATGGGAAAATTTACTTTGTACAGTGAGCAATGTTCTGGAGCAAGCAGGAGCAGACAGAAGGAGTGGGCCTCACAGAGCTCATCCATAACATGAAGAGTATGTGGGTCCAAAGGTATGCTGGTGGTGAATGTGGTGACTGCAGCATGAGGAAACAGTCTTCTGTCTGTTTCGATCCTCTCCGTGAAAGAGGAATTGACAGTATCAGGTGAGAGTGAGGACAACAGATTTCAAAAGAAAATAAAGCGTGTGAAATAGTTATCCAGGAGAGTGAAAAAGTGAATACGCTAGGGTAACAAAGTACATTAGCCATGTAGCAATAAGGGGCACCTGAGGTTAATAACTATGAACTCCAAGTGAGAAAGAATGGTCAGATATTTTTCTCTGGCACTTTTGAGTGGCACAGGTATAGGCAGCAAAGTGATTTTTAATAACAAATTAATAACAAACTTAGCAAAACAAGTATAACTGAGCAAGAGACAGTGAGGAGTTGAGGAGCTATACAAGGAATGATTATAATCATTATCAAAGGAATTTAAACCAGATAAGGAGGGAAGAGAGGCTATGAGTGGAATGAGGATCAGTGAAAAGATAGGAAGATTAATGGAATGAAAGTTCTGGTGCTTGACACCTAGAAAATATTTATTCAATAAGAAGGGATTCTTCTAATTCCTTCTCTATTGCTAATAGATTCTGGGTTCGCTACTTGGTCTTCTGCTTCCAAAATGAGGTAAGACTCTTATATGTTCTATTCACTTTGTAATGTGTGACTTTGTCTAATAGCAAGTTCATCCTGTTTTTAATTCTTGTTTTATAAGCCTCTCTTACACATTATATATTTTAAACCTTACTTTATTTGATGTGATTTGAATTGTTCAAATTATGTTGAATGTTCAAACTTACCAACTACTAGTATATGTAAAACCAACAAATGGCAGATGGTGGCCAGAAAAAGCAGTATGTGTTGGTGGGGGCATCGTTTCCTAAAGAAGGAAAAAATATCTGGTAAGAATAAATAAGATCTGCAGGCTTGTTTATAAATATTGTCCACAGGAAATATGTGGCAGTTCTATTTAGAAACACTGATACATTTGGCACATATTTTTAGTAAAACAGAAACCAGACCACGAATATTGCTATTGTAAAAGTCTAAGAAAATTAAAGATTAAAAGTATGACTGATATTGATTGTATAGCCATTATTTATGCATTCCATATTTATGAATTTGAGTGGTTGCTAAAATTTATTTGTAACCCAAAAGTAAAATTCACCTTATACTTATAGTCATTTACAGATATTTAGAAAGCAAAGAAAAATGTGAGTTGCCCATGTTCCAACCAGGGGTGGAATAAGGCAATTTCTGCTCCCTGTTTCAGCTCCTATACTGAGAATGAGTGCTCTTTTCAAGGTGGACACGTGCCACCTTTTCACATTTTCATGCTTTTTGGCTTAATTGTGCTGTTTAAAATCGCCTCCAAGTGTAGTGCTGGAATGCCATATAATGTTTCTAAGCAAGAAAGCTGTTAAAGAACCTTACAAAGAAAATATATGTGTTAGATAAGCTTTGTCTGGGCATGAGATATAGTGCTGTTGAGCACATGTTCAATGTTAGTCAAAATATTGATTAAACATGGTATCTTTAAATAGAAGCACATATAAAACAAGATAATGTATTGATCAGTTGATGAAAATGTGATGATGAGAGGCCCAAAAGAACCTTACCCGAGGAGCAATGGTTCAATATTTGCTAACACGGTGTTCATAGCAACTTTATAAGTATTGACTACACTATGTATTTAATTGGAGTGACTCACAATTTCTGTTAACAGTAAATAAAATTCTTGCAATAAAAACCCAATGAGGAAAGTCCATTTAACTCTCTCCTGTGAGTCTCACAGTAGAAAGCCTTAGGGAAGTTCTTGTCTACCTTGACTATAGTGTTTACTGGACAGTAAAAAGTGTTATAAAAATAATCTAAAACCTTTCTAATGTAGAATTAAAACATAAGAAATAAAATAATTGAAAAGTTCAAACTAAGAAGGCTAAAAATTTTGTTATTTTCCGAAATTTCAATTTCCTATAACCTAAAGACTTAGAGCAGAGGTTGACAAACTATGCTGATCCAAAAGTTAAAACTGGTTGAGTATCTTGGTAGCTCACTGGTCTGCCACTTGCTTGAAATAGGGCTATTAGGTTCAGGATAGTCAGGCCGTAGATTTTCTTTACCTTCATTTCCTACCAAGTATGCTATTTTTAGTGGCAATACCACAGGCATGGGTATTTACTGATAGCTCTCTGAACCTTCTGGCAGGAAAATTGCTGTGGTTTTTGTTGTTGCTGTTGTTGTAAACCAAAGGCAACAGATTTTAATGAATAAAAGATTCTGAATGTATTTATCTTGGGTTGATTTATTGTTTTTGACAATTCTTCCTACTTAATGGTGCATTCTATGGAGAGATTTGCCAATATCTTCAGTCATCATGGAAGTCCAGGTTTAGCATCTGATTTGTTCTCTTCTAATAAACTTAATTACTTAACTAATCTAAGAAGGAAATCTTTGCACTTCAGTTTTCACTCCTAGTCATAAATAACTGTTCACATCAGTTAACTGTCAATTTCTTGATTTATGAGAGTACATACTAGAGTCAAGATAACTATCTGATAACTGATAAGGCAGTTCATAAAATTACTTTATAACCATATTTTAAAGAAACAGAAGAAATTCTTCATAATGTTGCACTTACAGAATTCTTTAAACAATCATCATCCACATCAAAATTCGATGTATCTGTTGGGCTACTAACTTCTGGAATATAAGGAGCTTCACAGTTTCGAATATTATCCCAATCAATTCCACAAAAAAATGGGTGTTTCTTAAAGTCTTCTATTCCATTTTGACCAAGTCGATGTTCTCTGCTACAGATAAGTCTTCGAATAAGATCCTTAGCATTTTCAGACACATCAGTCACTTGAGCAGGAAACTGAAACCTCTCCTATACAGAATAGAAACAAAATATAAATCAGTATTTAACTTACAAAGCAGGTTAATTAACATTTATTTTCTTAAAGGTATATTTTCTTTAAAAGATATCTAATAAGTATATTCCAGTACAAAGTATAGACACTAAAGTAGATACAGAGATACAAAGAATGAGAAAAGATGATCTTCTTAAAAGAACTTCTAATTTCATAGGTAACTTAGTCATACATGCACTGGAGAAAGAATAAATTGAATGCTAATATATCTTAAACTGGGAAAAAGGGTAGAAGTCTCCTACTACGGCTGCCAGGGGAGCCCCTTAGGCTGTAATAAATCTTTGAGTGGATCTACAATGGCTTCAGCAAACAGCACAGCAGTTTAGAGGACTCTACAAGAAATCTGGAAAACTTGTATCGCTGAGTTTGGACAATGAAGGCAAAATCACTCTTCTACAATACATACACTCAAAGTTGTCAAGACTGGGCTGACAATTTCCAACATCACATCTGAGAAAGAGCTGACAACTGCTGAAATAACTTTATAACTTTTGATCTTGATAGGCACATGTAATTACGCACACTGGGTTTGGAAAATTTATACCCCATCAATTAATGGGATTGTCTTTCTGGTGTACTGTGCAGAACTTTCTCCTTATGGAATCTAAAGTGGAGCTTAACACTTTAATGACTGGTGAAAGAATATTCAATGTGCCAGTCCTTATTTGGGGGCAGCAAAATAGATAGGAAAGATGGAATCAGTGAAGAAAAACTGTGAGATATTTGGGAATTATGGACACACAACAGGAAAGAGAAATGTGACCCTAAAGGAGCTGAATGCCCACCCTGTGGAAATGTCCCCATGCAGTGTGCCCAAGTTGCAAGGCTATGGCATAGACTTCCACTGGCTCTCCCAGTATAATGACTGATGTGTGACAGAGAAAGGAAGTTTTTACTTGTATGGGCTGATCCTATACAGTTTCCTCATGAAATTTTCTAACAGAACAAGGAAAGCTTTCCAACCATATATGGCATTGAGAAGCCAAGTCTCTAATCAGCTCTCCTTTCACCCAGTAGTGACATGTTTTCTTCTCTACACTGTTGGAAGGTAACACTGCTGGTGGAGGTCAGCATCAGGGACCTGGAAGTTGGCAGGATGTGCCAAGTAATGCTCTGTACTATCATGGGGCACCTGGAAAGAAAACACATCTCACCACTGGGGTTGATTTCAAAAGAAAATGATTCTATTTTTTTTAATTTATTTTTTAAAGATTTATCCATTTATGCACACAAGAACTGGGGTACAGGCCAGAGGCATGGGGGGGTGAAAGGATTCACCAGAGACAGAGTGGGGAGCAGAACAGGCAGACTGACTAAAATACACTGCTGAGGGGAGCAGCAGGCGAGGCAGGAGGGGTCTGCCAAGCCATGCAGGTTGAGCCCTGGCCAGCCAGGATCAACAGAGGCTGAGTGCTGTGCTTAACCCGTTGCACCACCAGGGAGTCCCAAAAGTGATTCTATTTTATAAAGAAAGTGTTGTTAATATAACTGGTGTCCTTCCTAATGTTTTCGTTTCACAATTTACTTGTTCCAGAGTTTTTTCTTTTATATCATGGCATTTAGTTACTTCATAAAACGATGCACAGATAAACAGTGAAGGTCAAAGTTCATCAAGTGAACTTACTCCAGTTGAATTAGCAACAAAATGATAACCAACTACCTGCCTTTGTAGGTAGCATTACTTTGTACACAGAAGACAAGAAAAGAGCAGAACCCTGGTCTTCCAGTTGTGGCAGATTTATACTGTAGTAAGTCAGGGTCTTTCTCTTCATAGAATGTATAGTACAGATTGTTTAATGCAGAGGAATTAATTATTGAGTAGGTCACTGTTATTTTTCCTTACATAGTTACAAAAGCCTCCACTCTTTACTTTGATGCTGTTGTGAAATCCATCTCTCCCTGTAGCATTTTTTTCATTTTCAGTTATAAAAAGTAACTTCTTCTGGGCCTCCCTGCTGGCGCAAGGAGATAAGCAACACACTATGAAGGAATCCACAGCCTCTGCAGCTAGAGTTCAATCCCTAGCCCGCCAGGGAACAACCCACATGGTGCAGCAGACCTCTCCTGTCTCACCCACTGTTCCCCTCAGCAGTGTATTTCAGTCAGTCTGCCTCTTCTGTTCCCCACTCTGTCTCTGTTGAATCATCTCACCCCCCACATATCTGGCCCGCACCCCAGCTCTTGTATGCATAAATAAATAAATCTTTTTAAAAAATAAATAAATAATAAATAAAAAGTAACTTCTGCCTCATAAAATAATTGGGAAATCTCCCATGTTGTCATATACTACAGATGTGTCTCAGATACTTTTGCACAGACTCAAGGGGAAATTTTTCTGAATAGGAGAGTCACACAAGACAAAGTAAATAGTTTAAGGGCTCTTTGTAAGTTGAGAATTTAAATATCTGGTATTGTAGCATTTGCTTGAACTAGGAAATATTTACTCGATGGACTTTGAAAATGCCTTTTCCGTTTAAGAAATAAGCTGACTAAACTCTTATCCAAGAATTTTGTCAAGAGTTGTTCCTTTTGAGTCACCATCAGTTATTGTCAGGAAACACAAAGTAGGAAAGCTCAGTATCCCTAGTAGTGGATGAGGATTATTTTTATTGCATTCCATTCCATTTTACAGCATTCCACTGCTATGTACAAAATTGGATTTTCATGATGTTAACCAACATTCCAATCTTGTAGTGAAGTTGAAGAGACAGGAAATGATCTTAAGATGGGAGGATAGCTTCAGTTTTCCTTTAATAAAAGGTTAGACGTAGTTTTCTCAAAACTGAGTATTCTGATGATGATGGTTACTTGCAGAAGATTAAATTAATAAATTCAGTGAACTCTTACTTTTAATAAGAGAATAGAGAAAGTGCGGATAATATATGCCTGGGATAACAGTATTCTTTAGTTGAATTTCTCATTGTTAGTCTTCAGTACTGAAGTTAAGAAAGCATACTTTATCACTGCCAAGAACAAAATGCAAAGGCTAACTGACTTATAAATCTGGAAAGAGTAAGAATTTCATTTATTAGCAAGCATAACTGGATTCAGACTAAGTTGGTGATTTGGAAAAGGGTTAAACATTAAATGAACAAAAGTTGTTTAGCTAATGGCAAATGAACTATAGTTAACTTGCATACTTTAATACTTTAGGTAAAGGTAACTCATACTTTTCAATCCAGATTCCTGAGAAGTATGATTGTTTCAGTGTTACTTTTACTGTTGTTTATTTTCCCCTAATCACTTTGCAGCGTAAGAAAACTATAGATTCTTCACAGGGCAGCTTTTTATGAAAGTCATTCATTTTTGGCCACTGGAGAAAGAGATTAAAAAGCAAAGTAGCACCAGTCTGTTTCTTGCCCCACAGAACACACTATTTCTGTAATAAGACACAGAAAGAAGCTGCTGTGCAGAACTTGGCTCTGAACAGTGAGGATCAGCACTTTTTACAGAAACTCCCATGAAATCATCTGGATTTATCAGATTGGATATACGCCATATTTCAGGAAAAGCAAACAGTCATTTATGAAAGGTCACTATACATCCTATGAAATTTAATGAAAAGCTAAATAAAAAAATCTTAACCGGCTAAAGCAGAATTCATAAAAGTAGTAAAATTTGACTCCGTATTTCAATAGCGTATAGATGATTGTTAATATCCATATATGTCGTTATACTAATGACTAATAATAATGAATATTTTTAAAGATAAACATTTTTAAAGAATGTAATATGTATTTGACACCATTGGAAGTCCTTTATTCATTTAATGCATTTAATCATCATAGCAATAATCTAAGGTATTACCTAATTTTACAGAAGAGGAAACAAAGGCATAGATAGTTTAAGCAATTTGCTCAAATTCACACAACTAATATGGTATAACTAGGATCTGAAGTGATACTGTCTGACTCCAGAATCTGCGCCTTTTTTATTTCTTTTTACTAAAATGACATTGATTTACAACACTGTAGATGATTTAGAGGTACAGGCTCACATCTCTTCAAATATATGTTGCCTCCCACACTTACAACCAAAGCACCCACAATCCTCCACCCTACTCCACTGGGCTGTCACCATCTTTGTTTTCCACCCACTTCTGATACCTCCATTCCACAGTTAGATTTTTAGGGTTGCTGTTGTTTAGTTCTGTCAACCCTTTGTTTGGTCCCTCTATCTTCCATGCATATAAGTGAAATCATCCAGTATTTATCTTTCTCTTCTGACTTATTTCATGTTGCATAATCCCCTCCAGTCTCATCCATGCTGTCCCAAGCAAGAAGATTTCATCTTTTTTTAGCTGAAGCGTATTCCATTGAGCCACATATTCTTAATCCATTCACCTGTTGTTGGACACTTAGGTTGTTTCCCTAACTTCACTACTGCAAATACTTCTACACTGAACATAAGAGTGCACGTATCCCTTAGACTTAGTGCTTTTGCATTCACTTAGTAGATACGTAGAAGTGAATGGCTAGATGGTATGGTAGAGCTATACAGTGTTTCATAAAGGCTGGACCAGTCTACAATACCACCAAAAGTGTATAAGGATTATTTTTTTCTCCACATCCTCACCAACAATTGTATCTAGTCTTTTTGATAAGGGTCACTGTCACAGATGTGAGGTGATGCCTCATATTTCTCTGGTGAGAAGTGATGATAACCATTTTTCCACGTTGGCCATCTATATGTCTTCTTTGGAGAAGTGTCTATTTAGCTCTTCTGCCCATTTTTGATTGGATTATTGGTTTGCTCTTTGTTGAGTTGTATGAGTTATTTGTAGACCTTAGTTATCCCTTATCAGATGTATGACGTGCAAATATTTTCCCCCATTTGGTAGAGTGTCTCTTCCAGGATCTGTGCTTTTACTACCACATTATAATACAGTGATTTATATTAGAAATGTTCCACATGCTATTTACAACCTTATAATTATTTCCTATCTTTTAATCTTTGTAACTATATAGTGGGTTATCTTTGAAGAAAGATTTAAGAGTATCAAGTTTATAAAACTGATATATATATATATATATATATGAATTCAGTAATCTCAACTATCATATGCATGAATCAACTAAGCATAATTTTAACAAATCATAATTATATCACCATAAATGAATATATTTGGTCATTCCCTTTATGCGATATTCCTAGCAATATTCCATATTTTTTGTAACTGCTCACAATCTTCTGAGGCCAATCAAACAAAACTTTCCTCTTCTTATCTATTTCCACTTCACAAGTTTTATTAATTCATTCCTACAGTGCATCTAAATTGTTTCCAGCGTTTTGTCATCATAAATCATATCGGAATAGGTATTATTCTTTGTACTAAAATGTCTGTAGAGTAGATTCCTAGAACTGAAGTTGCGCAATCAAAATTTCTAGCCAATAACCATTTTTTAACAACATAATTATAAACTTCTTGATATAAAGGTTATATCAAGTTATAGTCCTATCGACACTATCTAATGTCCATGTCAGTACACAGCACTATTTTTCTTTTAATTTTTGTCAATTTGACAATGGAATATATTCTCATCCTTATTTGAATTTCATTGATTACTACTAATTTTGAGAAATTTTAAAGTACATTCCAGTCATACTATAGCAATAACGATATAAATTATTTGCTTATGAAATAATTTTTATTTTCATGATCTTTGATCTTTATATTATTTCAAAGATCTTATGATCTTCGTCATTCTGCTAGAAAGACCATTTAATTTCTTACTAACATCTCTAATAAAATACAGATTACGACTAATAATGTCTTGTAAAATTTTTGGATTTTGATTATTATTGTTTGTAATACCCCATGTTAGCATACAGATTAGACATTTTTGTTTTTAGAAAAAAATATTTTTTAAATATCACATTACTTTTATTATATGTATTATTAACCACATTATTTTGGAAAACAATAAAATAACTCACTTTGTGATTCATGATTTTTCCATAAGTCTCCACAAGAGATTCTGCATAAAACGGTGTTTCTCCATAAAGCATTTCATACATACAGACCCCCAAAGACCACCAGTCACACTCAGGTCCGTATCTGCCTTTTCCATCTTCCATGGCTTGAAGGATTTCAGGAGAAATATAATCTGGAGTTCCAACAGCTACTGAGGATTGGACCTGAAGAAATTCACATTTTTAGTAATCTACTATATATTAAACTGGTGAAAAATAATTTCAAAAATATTAATACTTAGGTAGACCATTAGATGTTCTCTTAACAATTACAACTTTGTTAACTGAATTTAGTCTTCTTGTACATGTAAGTTAAATTTTCTATAATCTCCACACTAACAGTTCTCCAGATTTCATAACACCATAGAACCTTTATTATTGCTGTTATTTAACTGACTACATTTAGGGAAACAATATGGTTTGAACATCACAGCCATTAACATTCTTATTAGTGATATTACTGTCCAACATGTATATTAAAAAAAAAATGAAGTATGAAAATTTTACAATCAGAGGGGAAGAAAAGCCTGTGAAAATGTGGCTAATATTTATAAGCAGCCTGGCAATTTATTCTAAAAATATCTTAAAGTAAAATTAAGAAATATTGCTAACTATATCCTGCAAGCTACTTCTTAGACTATTGTAAAAGAGGGAATTATGTTCTTCAAAAAATAAAGTCCTAATATTGAATTAGTAAAACAATCTAATTGTAACCAGAGGGAACGGAAGAGGGGTGACAGAAGAGGGGCTGGCAGAAGGAGGCAGACTGGGAGGCAGTCTTGGCCCAGGTGGTTCAGTGGAGGGTGAGTGAAATATGTGCACATGTGCACACATGGAAGAGCAAAAGTGTAACACCAAAGTTAAAAAAAAAATGTAAAATATCAAGTCCCAGGAGAGAAAAACAGTTGAGCATAGTGCTAAGGCACAATAGATATAAATATAGCAGCTAAAATAAGATCTCCTGAGCATGTATATTGTAAGGTATTCTGAAGTTACAAAAAATTGGTTATGTTTTAAAAGACAATATTAAAAATGAACATTCTTGAGAAAGAAAAATAGTTAATATTTTGGATTTTCCACACTAGACTATCATTCTATAAGAATAGACTCCCTTTTTGGCAATACTGAGATGAAATAACTTGAAAACTCTTCCACTACAAATTCTTAAAAATAAAATATAATCTTTTTAGATCAGGGACCTTTTGCATGTCTACAACACACCAAGACTGCATGGAGCTGGGAAAGGGCTGTGCCCACAGCCAGAGGTGAGCTGAGAAGCCCCCACAAGCCAGTCCCCACCTGGCCACTGAGAAATCACAACAGACACAGCAGAAATCAAAAGAATAATCAGAAACCACCACTATGAACAGTTATATGCAAACAAGTTCAACAATCTAGAAAAGATGTAAAAATTCCTACAACTCTACAATCACCCAAAACTAGATAAAGAAGAAATAGAAAACATAAACAGATCGGTTACAAGCAGCGAAATTGATATGGTAATCAAAAACCTCCCCAAAAGCAAAAGCCCAGGAACTGAAGGATTTACAAATGAATTCCACCAAACATTCAGAAACAAATTAGTGCCTATCCTTCACAAACTCTTTCAAAAAATTGAGAAGGAAGAGATAATACCAAACACGTTCTATGAAGTCAACATTACACTAATACCAAAGCCAAGTAAGGACAACACAAAAAAAGAAAACTACAGGCCAATCTCTCTAATGAACACGGATACAAAAATCCTCAATAAAATTTTAGCTATCAGAATCCAACAATGTATCTAATTCACCACGGCCAAATAGGATTTATTCCAGGGACCCAAGAATGGTCCAACAATCCAAAATCAATCAATGTAATCCAACACATCAACAAAAAGAAATATGAAAAACATATGATCATATCAATAGATGCTGAGAAAACTTTCGACAAAGTACAACACCCATTTATTATAAAGGCCCTTGAAATTCTCAGGAAACAAGGAACATACCTCAACATCATAAAGGCCATATATGACAAGCCCATAGCCGTGATCATACTCAATGGCGAAAGATGAAAGCATTTCCATTAAGATCTGGAACAAGACAAAGATGTCCACTCTCACCACTGCTTTTCAATATAATACTGGAAGTCCTAGCCAGAGCAATAAGACAAGAGAAAGACATACAAGGAATCCAAAGAATCAAGGAAGAAGTCAAACTATCACTATTTGCAGATGATATGATAATATACATAGAGAACCCAAAAAAACTCCACAGAAAAACTAATTAAACTAATCAATCAGTTTAGTAAAGTGGCAGGATACAAAATCAACACACAAAAATCAGTAGCCTTCCTCTACACAAACAACAAATCTGAAGAAGAAATCAAGAAAACCATTCCTTTTATTATTGAAACAAAAAAAATCAAATACTTGGGAATAAACCTAACAAAAGAAGTAAAGGATCTATACAAAGAAAACTATAAAACACTGTTAAAAGAAATAGAAGTAGACACAAAGAAATGGAAAGGCATCCCCTGCTCATGGATTGGAAGAATTAACATTATCAAAATGGCCATCCTACCAAAAGCAATCTACAGATTCAATGCTATTCCAATTAAAATTTCAATGTCATTCTTCAAAGAAATAGAAAAAATACTGATGAAATTCATATGGAGCCACAAAAAAACCCCAAATAGGCAAAAATCCTCCTAAAAAAAAAAAGAAGGGAATGGAGGCATCACTCTCCCAGATTACAAACTATACTACAAAGCCATAATAATCAAAACTGCATGGTACTGGAACCAGAACAGACACACAGACCAATGGAATCAAATTGAAAACCCCGAAATAAACCCACAATTTATGGTCAACTAATCTTTGACAAAGGAGCAAAGAATATGCACTGGAGCAAAGAAAGTTTGTTCAATAAATGGTGCTGGGAAAACTGGGTCACTACATACAAAAGAATGAAACTTGACTACTACCTCACACCATGCACAAAAAACAACTCAAAATGGATTAAAGAACTAGACATAAGACCTGAAACCATAAAATATATAGAAGGAAATATAGGCGAAACTCTACGTGACATGCACTTCAAAGATATCTTTATAGACACATCACCCAAAGCAGTGATAGTGAAGGCAAAGATAAACAGCTGGGACTACATCAAATTAAAGAGCTTCTGCACAGCAAAAGAGACAATAACCAAAAAACAAAGAGAAACCCCACCAACTGGGAGAACATTTTTGCACACAACACTAATGATAAAAGACTGATCACAAAAATCTACAAAGAGCTGATGAGACTCAACAAAAACAAAGAAAATAATCCAGTCAAAAAATGGGCAGAAGAGCTAAAAAGAAACTTCTCCAAAGAGGAAATACAAATGGCCAACAGGCATATGAAAAAATGTTCAACATCACTTGTAATCAGGAAAATGCAAATCAAAACTACAATGAGATACCATCTTACATTAGTGAGAATGGCACATATAAAAAAAACTAGCAACAACAAATGTTGGCAAGGATGTGGAGAAAAGGAACTCTCCTGCACTGCTAATGGGAGTGCAAACTAGTCCAACCACTATGGAGAGCTATGTGGAGACTTCTTGACCTACTAAAGAGAGAGCTTCCATATGATCCAGCAATTCCACTCCTAGATATTTACCCAAATGACACAGAAACATTAATTCCAAAGGGTATCTGCACCCCTATGTTTATAGCAGCACTATTTACAACAGCTAAGCTATGGAAACAACCCAAATGCCCAAAAATAGATGACTGGATCAACAAGACGTGGTACATCTACACAATGGATTACTCAGTAATCTAAAAAGATAAACACATGCAGTTTGCAGCAACATGGATGGAGCTAGAAGGGATCACGCTCTGCAAAATAAGTCAGAAAGAAAAAGAAAAATACCAGATGGTCTCACTCATAGCAGGAATTTAGAAAACTTAAATAAGGGACCAGGAAAAAGACTAATTAATACAAAGTAAAAATCAAAATCAACAAGCAACTATTAACCAGAGACACACTACGGGAGGGGGGATGTGGCGGGGAGAGGAAGGATTAGGGTCAAAATAAGGGGGGGGTGCAACTGTATGGGGAATATAACCAAAATGAAAATGCAAAAATGAAAAATGTGCAAAAATGAAAAATGATGTAACAATTATATCAAATAAAATATTAAAAAAATAATCATTTTTATAAAAATATAAATGTGCTTTAAAAAGAAGAAATTCTTTGTGTATATGTTGACCTTTTTTTCTTTTGAGGTAACAGTAGTTTACAACACTGTATATGGTTCAGATGCACAGAATCACACCTCCTTAGAGTCATGTCACCACAATACAACCACCATCAAGGCACCCACAGCCTCCACCATATCCACCTCATGCCCTCTTCCACGTCATCTCCCTTCTCCCTCTCTCTACCTTGTAGCCGCAATTCCACAGTAAATTTCTAGGGTTCATTATTGGTAAAAAAAATGAAAAAGAAACAAGAAGAAAGAAATTCTTAATGACCAGTTATCAAGAAATGGTTCAGAGACACAGTGATAAGTATTAGAGCACAAGTGGGATTGGGGTATTGTCACTTTTCAGTTTCTAGGTACTTGGATATAAATATAAAGATGACGAAAAAGGTAAAGTCTTGAATTTACATGAAGTGGAACTCTTGAAGTAAAGAGAGGCTATTACATATAACCAAAGGATACATTTTTAAGTGAAAAGGTGAGGGTCTCCCCAATGGTACAAAAGGTTAAAACACAACCTATGAGGCTATCTGCAGCCTCTGCTGCATGAGTTCAATCCATGGCCAGGGAGCTACCCACATGGCGCAGCAAACCATTCCTGACTTGCCTGCTGCTTCCCTCAGCAGTGTATTTCAGTCAATCTGCCTGTCCTGTTCCCCACTCTGTCTCGGTGGGTCCTCTCGACCGCACCCCCACACCTCTGGCCTGTACCCCAGTTCTCATATGCATAAATAAACTTTTTTAAAAATTAAGTGAAAAGGTGAATTAATTAAAAATTAAGTGAATAGGTGACTGAAAAGGCATTTTATGTTTTGGTATCTTGACTTGTAAATATATGAAGAAAAATTCCTTTTCAAAAAATTTTCTTAATTTGAGGTAACATAACCCCATCATTTGTGACTCTAATTCACAGTGCTGGGCCTC